TCTCGTCAGTTGAAACCCCATGAGAAGAACTATCCTACCCATGATTTAGAATTAGCGGCCGTGGTATTTGCTTTGAAGATTTGGCGTCACTATTTGTATGGGGCTTCTTGTCAGGTTTTTACAGATCATAAGAGTTTAAAGTACCTGTTCACACAGAAAGAATTGAATTTGAGGCAGAGAAGGTGGCTCGAGTTGTTGAAAGACTATGATATGCAAATTCAGTATCACCCAGGTAAAGCTAACAGCGTGGCCGACGCTTTAAGCAGGAAGACAGATGGAAATTTGGCGTGTTTGAACATGATAGCAGTGGAGCCGACTATTGTTGATGAGGTAAAGACAAGACAGATGGAGGATAAATTCTTCAAGAAAGTGGCCGAGGAGATTGTCACAAAGCCGAGATCAGGGTACACCATAAGATTGCCCTAAGACAAAGGCTGATAACAGCAAGAAAGGTGATATGTGTGGCCGACATCCCAGAGTTGAAAAGGAGGATTTTGTAGGAAGCTCACGGTTCCAAGTTTGCTGTTCATCCAGGGAACACTAAGATGTATCAGGATGTGAAACAGACGTTCTGGTGGCCAAACATGAAAAGAGAAATAGCCGAATTCGTGTCCCAGTGTTTGCATTGTCAACAAGTAAAAGCAGAACATCAAAGACCAGCAGGACTACTTCAACCTTTGCCGATTCCTAAGTGGAAATGGGAGCACATCTCCATGGATTTTGTGATTGGTTTGCCGAAGACACCGAAAGGTATGGATTCGATTTGGGTTGTTGTTGATAGATTAACTAAGTCAGCACACTTTCTACCTGTTAAGACTACCTTCAACGCCGATCAACTTGCCTTGTTATATGTGAACGAGATTGTTAGACTTCATGGAGTGCCGATGTCTATTGTGTCAGACCGGGATCCTAAATTTATTTCTAGGTTTTGGCAGAGTCTACAGAGGGCTTTTGGAGCCGAGCTGAGATTTAGTACAGCTTTTCATCCCCAGACGGATGGGCAGTCAGAGAGGACAATTCAGACACTTGAAGATATGCTTAGACTTTGTGTATTGGACTTCCTAGGAAGTTGCGGAACGCATCTGCCCTTAGTAGAATTCGCTTACAACAACAGTTATCAAGCTAGCATTGGCATGGCGCCGTATGAAGCTTTGTACAGAAGAAAGTGTAGGTCGCCGATATGTTGGACCGAAATTGGAGACAGAGCTCTGCTTGGTCCCGAATTGGTTCAAGTAACAACAGAGAAGATTAAACTTATCCAACAGATGATTAAGACTGCCCAAAGCCGACAAAAGAGCTACGCTGACCAGAGAAGGAATGAGTTAGAATTCGAAGTTGGGGATCATGTATTCTTGAAAGTTTCACCAATGAAAGGAGTTTCCAGATTTGGGAAGAAAAGTAAGTTAGCACCTCGTTATATTGGGCCATTTGAAATTCTTGACAAGGTTAACTCCGTTGCCTACAGACTTGCTTTGCCGCCAGATTTAAGCCAAGTCCACAATGTGTTTCATGTTTCTATGTTAAGGAAGTACATCCGAGATCCACTACATATAATCGATCATTCTGGGATTACGGTTAATGAGGATTTAGGCTACGAGGAGAAACCAATGAGAATTATTGACAGACAAGTTAGGCAGTTGAGAAACAAATCAATACCAATGGTAAAGGTCGAATGGAAGGAGCATTGTGGCGCAGAAGCCACGTGGGAAAAGGAAGAGGATGTGAGAATTCGTTATCCGGAGTTGTTTATAGAGCAAGGTAATTTAAGTTTGGGGACCAAACTTCTTTAAGGGGGGTAGGCTGCAGCGACCCTCACCTTACTCTTGTCATACTTGCATACATTCGTGCATGACCTTGTCTTGTTATGTTGTTTTGAAGGTTTTGCCTTGCCTTGTTTTGTTTAAAGTATTGCTTGCTTGACTTTGTTCCTTGCTCGGTGTGTAGCCGAAGTAATCTTGAGCTTAGTTCACCTCTGAACCTTTGTACTTAGAACTGTTTTGGAACCACTTGGTCGACCCCATCTTCGCCCGGGCATGTTTGCCGAGATGTTTTGCACTTAGTGATCCTTGTCCTTGGGCAGGTATGGCCAAGACCGAGGTGTGGCACACCCCGGCCAAGGTGTGGCACAGCTTAGTCAAGCGTCGTTCTCCCTAGCCGATGTCTTTGTTACCCTGTTGCCGAAGCCTTGACTTTAGCCGATGTTATTTCTTGCCGATGTGTCTTGCCCTAGCTTGCTGTGTACGCTTTGTCATAGACCTGTCTTATCAATCAATCACCTTTTTGAGTTGAACCAACCCGATAGCGCCACGTGTCCGAGCTGATTGTTAAGACAGCCGGCAGACCTAGAACAAATCATTTTGTCTCAAATCTTTGCCTTTAGAGAGAGAAGCTCTAGAGAAGGAAGGAGAAGTTCTTGAGTGAGAATAGATCTTCCAAGCTTGATCTTCGAGGTTTGAACCGTTGGATTCGAGTTTTGAGGTTAGAATCTTAACCTACTCTTGTTGTTCTTATTGATTATCTAGCTGCATTGTATGATCGAATCTGTTTTGCATGTCATGCATCGATTTGAAGTTGGTTCGAAAGAGAAAAAGAGTATTCATGTGTTCTTGAAGAAAGCCTTGTTTTGATCCGAAAGTTTGGAACAAGAACCACGTTTTTGTGTTTGTTCTTGCATGACCTTCTTGTAGGGGTACCTAGGTCCATGTTTTGGACTCATGGCATGAAATCTCAGATTTTTGTATCAAGTTGCGAACTTGCATTCATCTTCCTCATGATCATGTTCTTCATGTTCTTTGAAGGGAAAACCCAGGCTTTTCCCGACTTTGTTTGATGAGGCCATCGGGACCACACCTCGGCAAGTAGGTGTGGGACCTCGGCAAAGACCTGATTGGTACCCAGTGTGTTTCCATGAGACGGGAGCAGTGTTTAAACTCCCAACATGTTTTGCTTTGTACTGACTTGGATCTAGTGAGAATGCCGGGATCATTTGCATGCATATAAAGCTTGTTTTGAGAATGTAATTGCCATGTGATTGTAGGTCCTTGATCTTTGCTTTGAGCCTACACCCGAGGAGATCTATGTGAGTGGTATTTTTAATAAAGCTATGTTATACTGTTTTGATAAATCTTGCTTTGCTTTGTTTTGACGAAAGTATTTGTTAAGCATGAATGAATAGCTCTGTTTTGATGTATCAAGTATAAGCTTTGTTTTGATGTCATCCTTGAAAAGTCCCTTGTGCTGGAGGACTCTAAACTTTCGCAGCACTAAGTATAAAAGGATACGGTCCTTTCTTGGAAAGATTTCGCAGCACTAAGTCTAAAAGGATACGGTCCTTTCCTGGAAGGACTATCGTGTTAAATCGGGCCACGGGCCTAAGTAACACAAGTCTCATGATGTTAAATCAGGCTACGGGCCTAAGTAACACCAGATCATCGTGTTAAAAGGAGCTACAGACTTAAGTAACACAAGTCCCTTGTGCTGGAGGACTATAAACTTTCGCAGTACTTTTGACTAATCGATTACGGATCGTGCAGTCCTTGTTTTACCACTGACGGTTTACCGCGTGGACTTGTTTGTTCAGAAAGCTTGATTTGTGTTCTGCCGATGTCAGTAAGCATCCCTTGAGACTTGTAAGACTTGATAGATGAATACGGTTCATCCCTTGTTTGGATTAAGTTTTGACGTGTTTTGTTCTGGAAGAATCTCGGCTAATATTCGTATGGTTTCTGGCATGTTTCGTTTTGAAAGACCTCGGCTATATTCATGCAAAACCTTTATTATTTGTACCATTCACTGAGTATCCAAGCTCACCCCTCTCTATATATATATATAGGTGATGAGCAGGACGGCGGCGACGCCTAGATGTGTTTTGAAAGATTGTCTTGGATCCTTGCTTTTTGGTCGGCTTTGTTTTGTATTCACGTCGGCGATATCATTTCTTTTACGTCGGCGAATCTTGAAAATCATGCTTCTTGGCTTGTATTCACTGTATTTTGTATATGTCGGCTCGAGAAGCCTTTTGATCAAGATGTATGCCATTACATTGGATCTATGCACTGCTCTTATGGACCTCTTGTATGTTGATTCATTGCTTCCGCATTTGTGAGCCCCCTTTATTATACTCTGATTGTGTTAAATCTAGAAAGTTGGCCTTCGGTAATCACGGATTACTGGCCATCATGGCACCAAACTACTTGGGGCGGTTTGGGGTCGTGACATTTAACAAGTCAAAGATGAGTTGAGTATGAATAATTTGATTTTTTTTAAAAGTATACACACAAACTAGTTCTTACAAAATTCTCTGGTTTGGTTGGACTGAATTTTCTCTGGGTTGTTGGATTTTCTCTGGGTTAGATGTGTATATAAGAACCAATTTGTGAATGTTCATTCATTGACCAACAAAAAGAGCTTGGAATAAACATGAGAAATATAGAAGGCCAAGTCAAACTTGGTGTAAACTGGTTGTTGATTGATATGCAGTTGGTTTTGCAGATTTGGCCAATTCTGTAGACTAATACGAGTTGAGTAGAGCAAGAGTAGAAGCAACAGGAGAACCCAAAAATTTTGGAACAAAGCTACGATTAGAATTGGAAATTGGTTATGCTATGTTAGGAACAGGTACTGGTATTCTGGTTATAAATGACGAGTTTGCAAGCTTGGAAACTGATATGTTAGACACACATGATGATTTTATTTCTTCTAATGAATCAGAAATAAAAGAATGGGATTTTCCTGAGGAGGAACTAGAATCTAATGATTTGGGAAGCCGCAATTTATCATGAATATCGACAGAAACAGAAGCTATGGCAACAACAGCTATTGCATCTGGTCATGCCCAGAGAAATTCTTTGGGTTGAGAGAATTTCTCTGGCTGGGAATTTTCTCTGGATTGTGGAGTCCAGAGAAATTCTCTGGGTGGGAGAATCTCTGGAAATGTATGTCTGAGAATTTCTTTGGATTTGGGGAGTCCAGAGAAACAGAATCCCTTTTCTTTCCCTCCCCTCCTCACAACAACTTCCTCCATACCTTCTCTCTTTCCTTCCCTTTTCTCCCCTTCCACCTAATTGGCAGTCATAGTTATATATATATATATATATATATTCACAATTACCAGAGAAATTTAGAATTTCTCTGGATCAATTTTCTCTGGACCAATTTTCTCTGGACTAATTTTCTTTAGACCAATTTTCTCTGGATCTACCTGAGGGACCTTAGACATTATGAAAATATTTGGTGTCCTTTATGCTAGAAAATGTTAATACCAGGGACCTTAAAAAAAAAACCCCCTTTGTTTTATCATAAGATTAAATATTAAAAAATAGTTATCTTAGTGAATCTCTTATTTATTTGGAAGATGATGAAGGGTAGCTGTTCGAAAAACTTATATGTCCTTGACAATTATTCAGTGGGTGTTTGGTTAAAATGCTAAACGAACTTTTGGTTATTAAAGTCCTCCCAAAGATTTGTAAGTAATGACAATGTTAAATTTGATTATATATATAAATATATATTGGTGGAATTTGTAGCATGTTTCAAAGTCTACAATTTTCTTTTATTAATCTACAAAAATTTAAAATTTATTGACGAACCCAAGTGTTTTTCTATGTTCTTTTTATGAGTTGACTCTGCTAATGCCGCTTAATAATATAGTAGACACTTGTAATAGTTACAAAATTAGTAGGTTACCGTGCGATACACATGAAATTATTTTTAAAATGGAATATTGATTTTGGATCTTAATACTTTGTGTAAAAAATAATAATAATTGAAAGCCAAATAAAAATTAATTTGCTAATGGCTGATGAAAATTCTTGTCATTGTATTGTGATCTTATGTAAAAAGCTCATAAAAATAATTTCCTTCAAAGTTATAGGAAAAAAAAAGAGTGTATTCTCAACCTAAAATCAAATCTTTATTTGTGTTAATTAAATCTACCAAAAATCATGAATTCCACTTTTATCAAAACATATTTTCTGAAAAAATACTAAAAACAATAGAAAATTCTATAATATAACTCATGGTGTATTATTTTGGTTATTAATCGAAAACGTCTTTACTATTTTCTTATATTTTTTGTTATGTCTAAAGTAGTGCATTAAGTCTTTAATTATGTATAGCGATCCCGGGTTTACCCTTGTTGTACAGTGATCCGGACATGTGTCTGTGGATGTTGGTAGTTGTTTATTATCTTGTTTGCATCCTTTTTACTTCATATTTGAGTTATAGGATGTGTTGGGCAGGTTTGTTTCAGGTTGGTTGTGTTTGGGAGCCTAGTGTTGCTGCCCAGATTTTTGGCCCTTCGCTCGAGCCAAGAGTTTGTCGCTCGAGCGAGAGTTGAGTTTGTGTCTGGTGGGTCGAGCCAGAGTGGCTTCGCTCGAGCGAGCGATGGCACCTGGTTCTGGACCTGAGAGTTGTGTTTCTTGGCTCGAGCGAGCTTCTCTTGGCTCGAGCTGTCTGGTTTGTATGAATGTGCTAATGTTCTGTGTTACCTTTATTAGGATGTTAGAGGAGGAGATGTTTGCCAATCGGGGGGCGACTTCGTCCGTCCCCAAGTTTCTGGTGCAGGCAAAAAAAGTTCCCCTTGTTGGCTTTCCCTAAGAGGGGGTTTTGAAAAAGCAGTAAAAAAGAAAACCCAGGGGCCTACCGGGGCCCCGCCGTGTAATACTGTTACCCGCGCAGGATTTTTGTTACGCAGCTCCATCGGTAGTGAGAGGTAACTTATTCTGTTTTTTGCAAACTTCGGTTTGCTAATGTTGGTTGATAGACACGAGTGCCAATCTTGCATTCTTTTGTATCTGCCTGCATTTGCAAATCTGTTTTAAGAATTGGAGTTAGCACAGTTAGCATCTCCTATTTGTGTAGTGGTCACCTCTTTGTGGTGAGTTTTGATCCTGAAACAGGGTGTTAGAGGTTGTGATATTAGGGTTAGCCAGACCATAGGCTTTTTCTTTTCCGTTTGTTGTCATGCCCATGAAAGGGCCTTTGATGTTTTTTTGGGTATGGACTGGCTATCGTCATACCGGGCTGTTAATCGATTGCTACCGCCAGAGGGTCACGTTATGTACCTTGAGCGGGGAGTGGTTCCATTTCTTGGGAGACCGGGTTGGTAGTGTTTTTTGCAACCGGGGGTATGAATTCGCGAGGCCGAAGTGAAGCTTAGTGGTTTACTTCTAGCCTTGAGAGTGTGAGGTGATTGAGAACCCAGATTGTATTGCCGGAGGGTGGTTGTGAGTAATTTCGGATGTCTTCCCGAGATCTTGTAGTTTTGCCACCTATCCAGAGATAGAGTTCTCTATTGGATTTTAGTGCCCGGCACGGCGCCGATTTCTATGGCACCATTTACGTTTGCTCCAGCAGAGTTGGTTGAGTTGAAGTTCAAGCTCCAGGAATTGCTAGATAAGGGTTTTTGTTCGCCGCTAGTGTTTTCACCGTGGAGAGTCACTGGCCTCTTTGCTAAAAGAAAAGATGGTGCCTTGAGGTTGTGTATAGACTACCGGGATAGTTAGAATCGGGCGGTAAGATCGGTTTTAAGAATAAGTACCCTATGCCCCGTATAGATGATCTGTTTGAACCAGTTTGAAGGGTCCCGTTGTTTCTATTAAGATAGAACTTGAGATTGGGATTACCCACCAGTTGAAGGGTCCAAGGAGGAGAATGTTCCTAAGACGGCATTCCCGTACGCGTATGGCCATTTAGAGTTTCTGTGATGCCAATTTGGCTTACCAATGCATCACTGGCAGTCTTTATGGACTTGATGAACCCGGATTTTCCCGGGAGTTTCTTAGAATCGATTTGTAGTCGTTTTGTGACGACTTCTATCTATTCGCCTCTGAGGAGGAGCACGAGGATACACTTGAGAGTGGTGCTTGAATTCCTTAGAGCCCATAGGCTGTATGCCAAGTTTGGTGGAAGTGTGAGTTCTGGCTGAGGGAAGTCCCAATTCTTAGGCCACGTGGTATCTTTCGGGGAAGGGTGTCTGTTGATGCAATCCAAGGTAGAGGCAGTGCAAGATTGGGGTCACGAGCCAAAGAGTGTGTTTGGAGATTCACGCTAGTTTTGCTGGGATTTAGCTGGGTAATATATCGTCCGTTTTGGAAAGATTTTTTCCAGGCTAAGCGTCACCGTTGACTAGACCTGACTCTGCGGAGGGAGTCAAGTTTGTGTGGAGTGAGACTTGTAGAAAAGTCTGTTCCATGAGAGCTGAAAAGTTAGAATTGACCAGCCGCTCCGGTGTTGATTATTCCAGAGAGAAGGGTTGGGAATTGCGGTTTATTGTGAATGCACATCAGAGGGGTTTGGGTTTGTGTGAGTTGATGGCAAGAGGGGAAAGTGGTAGCTTAATGGTCACGTCAGTTGAAATACACGAGAAGATTACGCCGCTACACACGACCTAGAGTTTAGCGGCTGTGATCTTTGCCTTGAATCTGGAGGCACTACCTTTTATGGTGAGAAGTTCGAGGTGTCTCGGGACCACAAGAGTTTAAAGTATCTGTTTACACAGAGAGACTTGAAATTGAGGGCAGAGAGGTGGATGGAGTTCATCGAGGATTATGATTTGAGCTGGATTATCATCCGGGCAAAGGCAAATGCTGTTGTGCCGATAGCTCCTTAGTAGGAATCCATTCAGTGATGGTAGCTAGTATAGCCATGCCGAGAATGGGAGATGTTGGGAGCCTTGGTGGAAGTTTGATTTCTACTGGGATCCTGTTGAAGGCTGGCGGCTTGTTTTCATGTAGTTGCGCAGCTAACATTGTGACACTGAGTTTAAAAAGAGGAACAGGAGGTGACTTGAGTAGAAAATCCCTCCGAGAGAAAGATTTCCAAGTGGGAAAGTTTGAGAAAGGGTTTGACGGTGTATTCCCAACCTAGAGTGTGAGATAATCCTTTGAGACTCAGTTTGTTTGTCCGGAGCTTGCGAGAGAAAGTACTCCGAGAGTTCATCATTCGCAGCCTTGTGGTGGCATTCGGAGGTACTAGATGTATCAGGAATTTGGTCGTCCAGTTTTGTGGCGGGGTATGGAGTGGATGGTGGCTGTATTTCGTAATCGAAGTGGCCTTACTTTGCCAGCAAGTGAAGGCCGAGCATCAGG